AGAAGTGTGCAGCCACATCTCTCTCAGTCCCTTTCTCCTGCCACTGCACTCAATACTGCATGCTCAGGGCCTCACTGCTGGATCCATGCAGCCCCGTTGCCGCTGCCTCTTCCTCCTCTTCTGCGTCTTCCAACGCTATAGGACATGGGCAGACCTGGAGGGTAAGTGGGAGCTCCGGCTCATCCACACCTGCTCCCATGCCCCTGTGGGACCTCATGGACAAGAGGCTTTCTGCTCCCTGACTGCCTTGGGCACTTGCCTCTTCACCCCTTCCTGTCCCCTGGCTCCGCACATCCCCTGCAGCAATGCACCCACCACAAGTACATGCAGGGGGTGGGAGCTGGAGCTGCCAAGGATGCAGGGGGTTTATGCAGGGCCTGCAGGTTCCTGTAACCCTGACGACCCATCCCTTAGCCCCCACGCTTTTACCAGCCCTCTACTCCCACTCCCATCTCCCCCTGCTGATTCCTGTCTTCTGTAGAGACCTTCACTATCCGGCTGCTCCAGACCTCCATTTTCCAAAATGCATCCTTTGTGGACACAGAGGGGCTGGGCCTGCTACAAGACATCGAGCTTGGTTCTCTTGATAAGCATACCTGGTCCATCCGCTTCCACCAGCCCTGGGTGCACCCAGCCCTGCCCCGCAGTGACTGGGACACCATTCAGAACATGATCAGGATCTATCTGCAGCAGTTCAGCCACCTGATCAGTGAAGGTGCAGTTCAGAAGAATGTGCCCTGTGAGTACCCAGTCTTCTCTGCACCCCTTCTCTGAACAGCATCTGGGAAATGGGAAGGATCTGGCAGTGCTGGAGCTGCACAGAAGATACTGACCACATCCACACGAAGGCAGTTCCCAGCCCCTCATGAAACCTCTCTCTCCTGTCTGTCCATCCAGACCCTTTTGTGACCCAATGCATGGCAGGCTGTGAGGTCTACCCCAACAGGACCTCCAGAGCCTTCGCCTATGTGGCTTACAATGGCCAGGACTTCCTCAGCTTCGACACAGACAATGCCACGTGGGTCGTCTCCCAAGACACCAACCTCTCACGGTACGTTCAGGCTTCTCTCCAGAACTATACCGCCTTCAGCGAGCTGGTGGAAATCCTCTTCAACGAGACCTGTGTTGACGACATAGATATGTTAGTGCACTATGGGAGAGCAGCTCTGGAGAGACAAGGTGAGATCACCGTGGCCCTGGCATGGCCACCACAAAGCCCCTCCTCACACACTGGGGCCAAGCGTTGTCCCACCAGGGCTCCCCCAACCCCTTTGCTCTGGCCCTCCAGAGCCTCCCCTGGCCACAGTCTTCGCCCTCACCCCCAGTGCAGCCCAGCTCCTGCTGGTTTGCCGTGTCACCGGCTTCTTCCCCCCGTCCATCAGTGTGGTGTGGCTGCGGGATGGCCAGGAGGTGCCACCGGGCCCGGCTCTCAACACCAGTGCCATCCTGCCCAATGCTGACCTCACCTACCAGCTCCGCAGCGTCCTGGCTGTGGTTCCCCGTGACGGGCACAGCTACGCCTGCCGTGTGCGCCACTGCAGCCTGGGCACCCGCAGCCTCCTCATCCCATGGGGTAGGTGCCATCCATGGGAATGGGGACAGGGATGGGGGTCCTGAGCTGCCCTGTCCCACAGGATGGAGCAAAAGCTGGGAAAGCTCATGGCAGTGTCTGCTTGTGTTTCTCAGGGAATGCAGAGATTGTCCTGATTGCAGGGCTCGGGGCTGGGCTGCTGGCAGCCTTGGCCATGGCAGCTGTCATAGCACGCTGGGTGTGGAAATGCAGGTGAGGCCCCTTTTGTCCCACAGAGCAGCACTGGGAGAGGAGCAGAGGAAATGCCCCAGGGGATTGCTGTGCTTAGCACTGAAGCTCCACCTGGGGCACTACTAGCTGTTGTCTACACCCCACAAGGTATCTTCCATGGAGTACCTATGAGTCATCTCCCTCTCGTTTCAGAAAGCACCAGCAGATGTACCAGGAATCAGAGTCCAGGAACTCCATCCTGAGCAAAGAAGCTTAGCCCTGAAGGGAGCCAATAGACTGTTTCCTTCCACCACACTCAGGGGGACAAAAACTCTACCTTCTACTGCTTTGACAACATTTTGGGCACTGCCAAGTGTAAGATCAACTTGACTCAGAGACACAGGGAAAACCTGGGGAGGCTCCTGACCTACTTCAATTTGCTAAACAGACAACAATGCAAGTCTAAGAACTTCTCACTCATTATGCATGATCACCTCTTACCTTGTGGCACTGCCCATGCACCCACTGAGGCTCTTCAGGGTACCCCAATGCCCAGTGGCAATTTCTCCCTGTTCTGGTACAATAACATATTTACCAGTAGGCAGTAAGGTGTGCCCTTCTACTGTTGCTTTCTAGTATTTTCTTTTCCTGAAAGCTGCCTTTATTAACCATATTCCAGAAGTATTTTTGCTGAGACTGAACTGTTCTACAAAGACTAACAGCACCTGCTGCAAATGGTTTTACAAAGTGCTGGGTAACACTGAAACTCTGATGTCATCTATGGGAGCTGCAGATGTGTGTAAAATGAAAATTAAAACATTCTTGTTTTCACTAAGAACACGTGCTTTTCCTCAGGATTTGGATGGGTTTGGGGAGGTTTTTACTAGCTGCAAATGGAAGCTGGAGCAGTACTGAATTACTGGTGCTAATTGCAGGAAACGCCACAGCAAGGAAAAAAAAAGGGAGAGAGAGTGTTTTTGGATATACAAACACATTCTTACATATGCCATGGAAATAAACAACTGTGCACATGGGTGTAAGGTGCCCAAAGCCTCCCAGTTAAGGACAAAAGGGAGCCAGTCTCCAAATGGAGACAGTGGAGTTCAGAAACACATAAAAAGGAATTTAGTTTATGCGCTCAATCAACCACATGCTTGAAAGTACTGTTTCAAAAGGTTTGGTTTCATAGGACAACTTCCTGGCATATTTTCACAGGATAAGTCTCTGGCAGTTGTGTGTGAGCCAGCTATCAGCTGGATCAGAAGAAAACCCAGGTGGCCTGTGGCAACATCCACCACAACTCTAGCAGGGCTTACTCTCCCCTGGCCAAACCCTGTGAACCACGGTGCTGCGGGCATGTCTGAATTTCCCTAACAGCCAGTGTCATCTGCTGACTCATGACAACTGCAGGGCTCAAGAACCTCACTGGAGGAGGCGTGATGCTGAGTCACTATGAGCCATTGCTGAACTAGGACAGACAAATGAAATTTCAGGCTGCCCACAGGTCTCACCTCCAGGCTGAGACCCTACGAGAGACCCTACAAATACACACATAGAAACCCCAGTCATGTCAAGAGGATATTCAGGTGTTTCAGCCTGGGCAGGCAGGTGCTGGTGCCCACACACTCAGTGCAGCACCCAGAGGCACTGCAGCCCTGCACACTGCACCCCAACTCACCCAGCACAGCTCTGGGATTAGGGGGGGGTTACAGCCTTCACTTGAGAGTGGACTGCAAGGACCAATGGCAACCTGAGGGGACTACAAGGACCAGTGTAACCAGAGGGGACTGCAAGAAGGAGTAGTTACATGAGGTGGAACTGCAAAGTCCTATAGTCACTTGGTGGGGATGGACCTGTGGTGACCTAAGAAGACGGTAAGAATCAATGAACAGTATAAAGGAGGCAGAAGTTGTGACCTCTGCTACGACAGGTAAGGAAGTGGAGTTAAAAAAGAAACATGAGGGCAAGCACATTTAATAGAGATAACGAAGAGCTAAAGCAGAACTTCTGGTCCACTGCAATAGTGGAAGACATCTGGTTAAAAATCTGAGAGACCCGAACACGTCATGAGCAAAGTCAGGTGCTGCCTCCGCCACCAGATACTCAGATACTCAGCCACCAGTGATAGCTCATGCACAAGCCAGAGACCTATCAGCTGCTCAGCAAGAAATGACCAGCAGTCACCCTTACAGGGGACTGTGAGGACAAATGGTCACCTCATAGGACTGAGAGGAAAAAAGCCCCCTGCTCCTTACTCCCCTTCCCTCATTTCCCCAATGGCTGTGCTTTGCCATCCCACCAGCCAAACAGTCTCCTCTGACCCCAGCGCTGGTGGCCCTGCCTGGAGACATGCAGGCATTATGGTGGC